GTCAAAATAAAAAAAACTGGGCTCAAATAATAACCTGTTGCATGCAATGGCCAATGTAGCTGACTATCCAACTTCTCATCATTAATCTCCCAAACAGGCTTGTAGCAGTTCTCATCACCATCAAAATTTTGGGCTCTCTCTTTTGCATTTCTCTATAGCCGCATATATATAGCCCATAGAAGGCTTGTCACTATCAACCATACGAAGGACTTTGACAAGAGGAAAAAATTCCTTAAGAGCGTCCTTCACCCCTCGCCAAAAAGCCTTAGAAAGGATAATATCTCTCACCTTCTTCCCAACCTGATCCTTGGACCACTTGCATTGTCTCCAATCATCCGAGATAAACATCTGCCTCAACTGCACTCTCCTCAAATGTATGCTATCTAGGCAAAGTACCAGGTCACAAATCTCATGACCCCAGGCCTCACAATCTCTTTCTTCTTTGTAAATCTACACATCATGCTGAGGGTGTGATGATGGCCATAAATGAAATTTGTAACTGACTTTGTCTTCTTCACTGCACCTGATATCTTGGTTAAACAGCCAAGAGACTCAAGCATGAGGTCTATACAATGGGCTACACATGGCGTCCAAAAGATTCTAGGATCAGCTATGCGCAACAAATTAGTTGCAGCGACATTAGGAGCAGCATTGTCTGTGACAACCTGTACAACATGATGCTTCCCAACCTCCTTGATTCCCTTCTCTAAAACGTGGAATATGTAATGGGCATCATGGATATGATCAAAGGTATCAATAGACCTCAAAAAAACAGTCCCTAAAGGACAATTCACAAGCAAATTCATCTGACTTCTTCGCTTCCTATCACTCCACGCATCAGTCATACTAAGCCCATTCATCCTTCTTAACTCATACAGCTTCTTTCGTGTCACTCACCGCCTTTTTCAAAAGAGGCTCTGAAAGCTCATATGGGGTTGGAGGTTTTATCCCAAGCTCAAATTGGTCAATTGCCTCTACCGCGGCGTAGAAGCTACTTCAGCGAGAGTGCTCGCCTCATAAAACCATGTAGCAAGATAATAATCTCTCTTCCTTCTTCATTTTATTTTCAATGGTGGTTTGCTTCTTTGTTTTCTCTCTTACAACCTCAGTGTCAAGCCGAGGCAAAAAACCATCCATAGGGCCTCTAACCCGAGGCTTCTTACTCCCAAAACTAGAAGCAATTACAACTCCCTTTCCCTTTCCCCTAATAATGGATTGCTCTACTTCTACCTCTTGACATCCCTCCCCAATCTCATCCTCATCACTATCATCATCATCATCATAATTGACCCGAACCCCAGACCTAATATCTATTATAGAGGCAAATCTCTCATCTTTTTTCCTCTTTAACATGATCAGGAGTCTTTCTACATGTGCAAGATGTTTCTTGAACAGGTTTATGCCCCTTTTTGTATCTTTCTCAGAAAAATTGCATCTTATGTAATTTTTATCATTAGGATCTGGGTTGTAGCCATATTTCCAACCGAGATCACCACTCCTATTAGATCCCGAAGAAGACATCTCAAAATAATATGATTTATACAAGCAATAAAAAAAATCACTTACTTTGAGTTTCATTGCTCAATCTCCAAACTTCCACCTCAAAGATGCTTCTAAGGACTCAAAATCTTCTAAAAAACCCTCTAATAGATTTATAAAACATCAAAAATTAAATCTAATACCAATGGGTGATGTTTTGATCAATTTCTCATAACTTTGAGAAACCCTTCTATCCTAAGAAAGTTTTTTGGGGGCTTCCTCTCTCTAAAATGGGCTCCATTAAGTTTTAGGTTTCAAATGAACCTAAAAATGGACAAACAATGCCCCCACCAAAAGCAATTTCCGCCTCTGGGAGGGGGCGCTGGACCTAGGCAGCTGCCCAAGTCTTAGCGCTAGGCGGCTGCCTATACGGTTTCCTGGGCGCCCAAGGACCACCGCTTTTTTTGAGTACCTAGGCCTGGGCGATGCGCCCAAGCCCCCAGATCCGCCTTGGCGGCCACCCAGGCATTGGGCAGTCCGCTTTTTGGAACACTGGATGCAATCAACCAATGCAATATCAAACAACCCTAATCCATATGTCCAAGACAAGGTTTCAATGGATCTAGAAAAGTATTAAGTTCTCAATGGGGTCCAATGGAATGGAGTTTGCAATAAGCAGAGGACCAAGATCTCTCTTGGTAAGTTTTGAACATATTCATTTTGATTTTGTGATTTGATTATTAAATTCTAATTATACATCTAGCTTATCAGCTACATTTTCATCTATATAAAATAGCTACATGGTGGACAAACCATGGGGGAAGAGCCCCACACTTGCGGCAGATGGCTTTGCATATACTGAATTTGACTTATTGCTCATCTGGATGTCAACGCAACTTTTCAGCATGTTTGAAATGTTATTTAGCCATTTCCTATTGTTACTAGTTAGGTAATTATTACCTAGTAGTTACTTCATTTACAAGCCTACACTGAATCTATATTATGTTTTTCAAGATTATAGTTTTCATTCTATATTTATCTAATAGGTCCATACAAAGAGGAGAAAGATATGAGCAGAAGAGACTAAATGACCTTGTGTTCTTTCTGTATAATAAAAAGCCGAAGGATAGCAATGATAGGGAGGCTCTTGTTGATGATGTAGATGAGTAGCGAGTGGCTAGTTGATGCCGGGGATGACGAAGTACTCCCTAGAGAGAGCTTGACCTGGGGACAAGTTCATGAGGCATTTGGGATACCATTGAGCCCTGTGCAGACCACTCGATCCAAATCTCAAAGGTAACAGGAAAGATTCATATGAGCAACAGAGGAGTATAAAGAAGAAGAAGTAAACTCAAAGGAGACAAGGAATGACGATGAATATGCTGAGAAGGGAGATGAGTCTGATGATGATAGCATTGCATTATCATCAAATTCTATTCAGGGTGATGATGAAACTGAAATGCCATTTTGAGTTCATCACATGAGGACATCATGCCTTGAGTTTTGATGGTTTATCAGTAATGTATTTTGGGCTTTGTGACCAATTTGAATTTTCTTCTATTCATGTGTTTACTTTGTGTTAGAGTTGCTAGTGTTTAATATTTGATGAGCAATGAAATAAGCACAACTTTGAATAGATGGGCTAGTAAACCTTATAAAGTTTTGGAATTTCAAATTCAAGTTTCAATCAAATTCATGTATAAATATTAAATAGCACAATTGCACAACATAATCATGCACAAAAGCCCTGAAAAACGATGTTCAAAAGGGTTTTGGGGTCATTTCAGGGGTCTTGGGCTCCATGAACTGCCCCTATGAACTACCCAGAGGGCTTGAACCCCTTTTTGACTTGAAGAAAGCAAAGATCATCTCCATATGGTCCCAAGTTGACTTGGCAGCTTGCCAAGACTACATGGAGTCCTCAATTGGCAAAACATTGACTCTGATGAGAGTATAAATAGCCCAAACAATATTCAGGCTTTGAGAATGTCCATACAAACACAGAATTGTAGGTTCAGATGCCATCCAACAATATCAGCCGCTCCTAAAAAGGTACTCAATGGAAGAGTGCTACTTGGCATGAGAATGACAAGATTACAGCTTCAGATAACATATATGCTCACAGAACCTATGGTTTCCAAAAGAATAGGGTCTCCTATTCCAAAGTCTGTGTACCATGTCAGCACAACAGAAAGTCTTAAAATCAAATCCACTTATGAGAAATGAAAAAATTCTTATTCCATATTCATTCATATTCCAAGACCATATTCATTCATATTCGAAGACCATATTCATTCATACTCCAAGATACATGCCCCTGAAAAATGACTAAATTCACAAAGTCATCAGAATTATTGTTCTACCCTCCATTCTTATATATCTATACACACACACACACACACACACACACACACACACACACATATATATATATATATATATATATATAGAAGAAGAAGTAACAGTAGGAATACC